AACAAGTGAAAGAATTGAAATCGATACACACAGATCCGATGATTACAACTCACATCAAAATGCACTTTTGGCTTTCTTTCCCTTTTGCTTCTCCCTATTCCTAAGTAATTACTTTCGCTTCTGCTGGAACTTGACGAATTCCACTTATCTGTTGAATCAGGAGCAGAAATTTATAAGCAAAATTCACAAGAGAAGATAATTCAAAATATATGTACTTTATAGGTTACATTCTCCGCTCACTCCATTAATAGCTTCACCTCGTCTAAAAGTGAAAAGAAGAAAACTGATAAAGGGACCAATCAGAATGTTAATTTTAGTGAAAAACAGAAATCCAAATCGGAAAGTAGTAAATTGAAGATCAAGAGATACCAAAGAGTAAACACTTTCAATGTTTGAGGTCAATTATCTAAATAGAGTGTGAGATTGGTGACAATGTTGATAGAATCAAACATGATGGATGAAATGGAGGAATGTACCTGGTGCGTTATGTGATAAGCGCATACCTCTCAAACTAAAAGGACATTTCTACAAAATACCTCTTAAACTAAAAGGAAATTTCTACAAAATACCTCTCAAACTAAAAGGAAAGTTCTACAAACAACCATAAGACTAGCCATACTATCTGGTGTTGAATGTTTGGAAACTAAGAAACAACACATTCATATAGAGTGTGGCAATGAAAATGTTAAGATGGATGTGCAGTAAAATTAGGAAAGATAGAACTAGGAATGAGAATATCTGTGAAAATATAAAGATAGTCCATATAGAAGAAAAATTAAGAGAGAATTGACTAAGGTGGTGTGGACATGTTTATATGAGACCTGCTAGTGTGCTACTGCACAAGTGAAAAAGGGTGATGTGATAACTACTGACGGTAATTGAAGGGATAAAGGAAGACCAAAACCAACCCTAAAAGAAGTAGTAAAAAAAGATGTGATAGCTTATGGTTCAACAGAAGTAGTATTGTCCCTAATAGAGCACAATGGTGAAATAGGATTCGTATAGCCAATCCAAAAAAGTTAGGACAAGACTTTTGTTGAGTTAAGTTGAACAGTTAAAGGGTTCAAAAATTTTGTGAATGCATGTTAGGCTGTCCAAACTTTCCTTACATAGCCCGTTATATATGCAATATCATGTAGCATGTCGACTTTTAGGGGTGAATTTACTAGAAGTGCATGTATAAGAAAAGAGAAACCTGCACTATGTACTTTTATGTACTCAATTGCAGCTGATGGTATAATTTGTTTTCAAAATTCAGCCAAACATGCAATCAAATACCAGCTCCCATTTTTGCTAAAAACAAAGAAAAAGGCTTCTGTTTTGGAACCCTTAATTTTGTTTTTTCTGATGGACAGACCCTCTGGTAACGGCTAAAAGTAAAAGAGCAGAACCACCACAGGTCTCCAGCACATACTTGTAATATGTAATAACAGTCAACATTTAAACCCCGTCAAGATAAGTGTTAGTACGGCTATCCATATCTAAAAATGAGTCTCAGCATTTGCAATTTCTTAAAGGTCATATCAAGGAGCTAGACAGTAGAACGTCGGAAGAAGTCTTAACTAAGCCCAAAGGCTAGAGAATCCGAATCTCAGCTCACATTAGTTCTATTAGTCTTCAAAGTGTCATAGTCACCTTCGCTCGCTTGGGGGCTAATGTTTTTTAGTACTTCTTTCTAAGCCAGCTTGCCGAGTCCCGTTTCTCCTCCTTCAACCGCTTATAGGTAGACAGGTATCGTCCACGGAATCTGTTCCCAGTGAATTCATGACATTCATTCACCAATGGGGGTTTGTTCCACGAGGCTGCACTGGCTAGGTTGGTCCAATTCTTATAGGTTTTAGGAATACGCCAAGTAGCCTGTTTCTTTGTCAATCACCAATACTACTGGTGGTGTTTAACCCATAAATAATAAAAAGAAAAGTATTTTCCAAACTCATCACTTGATTTCTGGCAAGAATGTCTACAAGTTAAACTGAATAACTGATTACATACCAGGTGATCGATCTGAAGAATTCGGACAATTACACCCATCAGGGGATCCAATCAACTGTTTGCATGCATTAGCACATTCCTTCTGATGAGAATCCTGTGCGTAGAATAATTAAAAACAAAACATATCGTTCAAAACTTAAGTCAGCAGAAATTGAAATAAAAAGTAAACCTATCGAAATTAGTGCTAATTTGCTAGAATATCATATTTTCAAATGCATCTTGAAACTCTTTGGTAGAATTACAGCTCCTTTCTTCAAAGCATTTGAAAGATCAAAACAATGAAATTCTTATGCTAAGTATTAAGGATACAGCTAATACCAAACAACAAACAGATGGAAAAAAACATGTTAACAGAACTGAGTTCTGACATAATTTCAGTTCCTACACGGCAAACCAAAATAAAAGCAAAAAATATCAAATGGGTGATAGATGGTTATGGGCTATGGTCCATTGAATGGATGACAAAACAACATATTGCTCTATTGATATACAAATAAACTTGCAAAAGACCATTCATTTCTAAACTGACTAGCCTCAGATTACCCTTGTAACTTACTTCAGCAGGCCGCCACAACTGGTGAGCATTTTTTGCCCCTGCTACACTTCCTGGAGTTCCGCATAGATCATTGCTCTCTGTAAGTATTAATTTATCCAGAGAGAGCTGTGAAGTTCTGATAGTATCACTTCTTTGTTTATCAACATATCTATAGGAAAAGTCAATCATTGGAGAAAACCAGTTTGAACTCACCATAAAAAACAATTCTGCAAAAACAATCAATAATGGAACTAAAAAGAGAGAGCCATCGGTTGTTTTTAACTTTTTACAAGCAATCAAACATTTTCAGTGATGTTATTCTTGGAAGTGATCTGAAATTCTGAGGTAATAGGCCTTACCTTGGATCATTTTAACATTAAAATTATTCTCTCATTCAAAATGGAGAGCTAGACATTAAAAACAGATTTGTTTGAAATATTCAAATTAAATGATAACAGCAGCCAATAATAAATCTCACCAATGTTACTGTCTCCCAAGTCAGGCTATTACGTTCCAAATTACACTCAGATTAAATTTTTAGTTAGGATGATTAGGTGAAGATCAGAAAGACAAAAGAGTAGAGTTGTGAATTCATCTTAGAGTTGTTTCTAGATTTTGACTCATATGGTAAAGGAGCAGGGAGGAATATGCTAGGTCTATTATCTGAATCTTGCCTAGCAGGTGGGGGAGGGAGAACTCATATAGATTTCACGTTACAATGTGTCGTTAGCTCTTGGGGATGCAGTCTTGGTAATGTGTATCATCTAAGTCGGGTCTAAGTAGATCAATTTTCAGATGCATTCACACAGGAGTTCGAATTCACTAGCGAAAGTGCTATTTCCCTGTATTTAGCAAATATCCCATCTTCATGAAACCCTTATGTATGAAAACAAGTGGTCAATTATCAGTAATTTAGTTTTCAAACACCAGTCTATAAAAGAAATAAAATTCATTCTGCAGATAAAGAAAATGCATAGATAAAGAATTTTTGATGGGTTGCAATTTGCAACTGTACCCACAATTCTGACTCCTACCATGAATTCAAAAATATTTTAACGCATCTTGTAGCAAAGCTCTGAACATGTTAATCAAGCAAGTGCATGATTGTCATGTGTAAGAGACCAACCTGTTAGCACAAGGTTCCAAAAGTGAATCTTGGGCAAGTAATTCAACTTCTCTGACAGGAACTGCAGCAGACTCTTGCCTTTTGAGATGGAACTTGCAGCATTGATCAAGAACTTCACTTCTCATGTCCTTTGATTCTTCCGAAATTGCTACGCTTACACCAGATAATATCCTTTTGTTGCTGGAGGACTCTGGGGAGAGAGGGAGAGAGAGATTTAAAAAACAATTCAGTCCAAAGGAAATAAGGAATGTGAACTTAACAACAACAAATTAGGTTAATACAGCATTAGCTTTCTGCCTACTAGACAAAAGCAATTAATCCCTATGATAACTTCAGAGGTGTTAAACAGGACGATTCAGATGAAAAGAAATGAAGAAACAAACATCTGAAAAACTTGAATAAGTGCCGTTGTTATTTGTCTTGGAGAACAAACTGAATCAAGCAAGAACATACACCCCATAAAGAAAAACTCCCCCAATCTTGGATTATAAATAGTAACTTCAACCTCTTGAAAAAGTCTTAATCTTAATATTACCGAGGCAAAGCCAAAAATATCAAATGAATTACATACACAATATCAATGCAGATTAGCAACATAAACTAACAACAAATAAGTCATAGTTTCTCTATGACACTCCTCTTTCTAATGCACATGAGTAATACATGGGATTCTCTCCTGGAGTGACCATCCTTCTTCAATTCTAAATACCAAAGAGTCCACAAACGGAGCAAATTTCCCAAATTTTGAGAAATATTCTTATAATCCCAAAAGTGTATCTAAATTGGCATTAATGAAAAGAATATCTTGGTACAAAACTACATAAAACTGATAACTAATATCGACTTCCACCATAAATAAAGGTCAAGCAGGTTATATAAATATAAGCTGATCCAATCTCAAGTCCTCCAACTAGTTGGCTAAATTTGCAACAACTGCAGCAATAATTTGATAAAGAGACGCAAGACATTCAGATTCAAAGAAAACGAGAAAATTTACAGAGCCTTAGATTGATCCCAACATAAAGATACTTACAACAAAACTTATATTGATACATACACCAATACATTCATACCCAGAACAGTCAAATTGTGAGAATAGACAATTGGGCGGAGAGAGAAACCTTGAGAGAAGAAGAGAGAGTAGTCAGTGCGACGTCTGTGTCCATTGGGGCTTCTGGGTTTGTGAGAATACTTAGGTATGTGATCAATTTGGCTAAAATCATCTCTCTTCTTTCTCCTATTATTGAGCATCTTCTTCTTCGCCATTGCTGCTAATTGAATGAGAGAAGAGAGAGAAAGATATAAGAGGAGAGAGAAGAGGGGAACCTAAAGAAGAAGAGGAGGTAATTGGCATTGACAGCGTGAAAATTGGGTAGGAGTGTGAGACCTCTCTCTGAATGGTATTGAATGCTATCATGGTATCATGCTAACTGCACTAAAATTGTAGCAGAACATAGTACGAGGATTATAAAGTTATAACATTGGCAAAACTGGTCGGAGTTAATAATTATATTAAGAGAAAAATTTTGATTTCATCGTCACGTACTGATGGAAAAGCAGCTGCAGATTATTGATTTGGGTAAAATATGAGAGGGCAAGAAAATTGCTAACACGGACAGCGATCCGTGCCATTTTGGGACTTGGCCAATTCCTTATTTTTTTTAAGGGCATGGTTATTGAAGCATAATTTGTGGTTTTCTACTCTGTTTGGTAAGACGGATGAAAAATAGGAATTATAAAAAAAGAGATATATATTTTTTATCTTTTAAAAAAAAAATAAGAATGATACACTTTTTTTTATTTGTGTTTGATAGGATGGATGGAAAATAAAAATGACTAAATTTTATTTTATTTTATTTTATTATTTTTTTTGTGCCAGATAAAATTAGAGATGGCAATTGAGTTGTGTCGTGTCATATTTGTGTTGAGTTATTACGAGTTTGTGTCGAATATTAGTTAAATTTAACTCAACTCATTCAACTATTGTATCGTGTCGAGTTACGAATTGACCTATTTATTTTTGTGTCGTGTTTGTATTCATGTTGATCCACATAAACTTTGAATAAAAAATTTAACGCTAATATTTTATTTTCACTTAATTGAATTCATGTTAATATTTTTTCTACAAACTAAAAATTAATTTAAATAAATATAATAATAATAATAAGTAAAAATATATTTTTATATAATAATTATACAGTCCTTAATAAATAATTACAAATAATTAACATTTTATGTCTATAATACTAGTTAAACATGTTAGTATTGTGTTAATTTCGTGTTATCTTATAAACGAAAAAATAGAAAAAATATTTATTTTTAAATAAACGAGTTGATGGTGTCAATATTGAGATTGACGAGTTGAACTGAATATGAACTTTTTATATTTCTTGTTCGAGTGTCAAATCATTTTCAAGTTGGTATTATAAAATTCGTGTCGAGTTTTAGTCGTGTCATTGTGTTGAGTCAAAAATTTTCACTCATAACTAAGATGAAAATAAAAATTAATTTTAATTTTTAAAATTTTAATTTTATTTTTAAAATATATATATAAATACATATTTTATCATTGTATTTTTATATGAAATTAATGTATACATAATATATGTATATATCAAAAGATATATAAACAAATAAGATACATCACAATACAAATAATTAACTTTTCATCCACTTTCCTTCTGATTTTGGAAGAATTAATTTTGGTGAGTTGGAAGAAAAATTAATCCATCAACTTTTCCATTATTCTTATTTTCTTTCCTTACCAAACATGATATTTTATTTATCACTTCAACTTTGCATCCTTCCAACTTTTCATTATTCCATTTTTTCATCATACCAATTGGAACATTAATGATTATGACTATTAGATTATCAATGGATCCTAGCATTAAATTTTCTCTGGGTCTCAACACTATCAATCCAATAATCATAATGTATTAAATTCTCAAATTATGTATTTTAATTATGTTTCAATAGCATTATAAATTCAATAACATTACTCTTATTAAATTTAATATCAAATTTTTTATTTTAATTGATGTGGCATAATGTCCACCATTGAATATTAATAGCATCCACTTATTTGATGGTAAAAATTAGACAATATCATTTGGAATAAAATTTTTTGATTAACATAATATTATTATTTTAAAATTTGTCGATCAAGATTGAAAAACAGAATTGCGGTTCTATTTCATCTACAATCACTTCAGGAATATAAATTTATGCTTTGTTTGGGGAGGAGGATGAAAAGTATGAGAGATATATTTTTTTTCCTTTGTGTTTGGTAAAATAGATGAAAAATAAAAATAATTAATTTTTTTGTGTTATTTTTAATTTTTTTTAAAAAAATATAAATACATATTTTATCATTGTATTTATATATGAAATTAATGTATACATAATATATGTATATCAAATGATATATAGACAAATAAAATATATATTAACATAAATAATTAATTTTTTATCAACTTTTTCATCCTTCTTATTTTTCTACTTTAGCAAATATGATAATTTATCTATTTCTCTAACTTTCTATCATTTTAAATTTTTATTATTTTATTTTTCTATCCTACCAAATAGAGTATTAGATAAATTAACCCTCGAATCCAAAAGCTGGAAGGAGTCTGTCTAGAGTCCATCCATCAGGCACAAAAGTTGACATCGATCGTTGTGAAAAATGGCCGATGGCTCAAATTAATAGGAAACTTTGACATTGTAAAAGAGTTATCGCCCGATATGTAAAAGTTATTCGAGTGGTAATGCTCCAAGTGCTCAAATTAACAGGAAATTTGGGCATCATTGTGTAAGGTATAACTCGACCCACAAATAATCGATTGGACCCATGGTTAGAATAATTTCTATTAAAACAAATCATATGTTTTGGGTAAATAACAAAAATTGTTTCATGTTTGTAAATTCGAAATATTTAAAGAGAAAATATGTTGGTGGTTGGTTGAATTTTTGGTCTCTAATACATTAACGTAATTAGAATGATATATTTTAGCTGTCGCTTAATTGAAATAAATAATTTGAATTTTTTAATATTTTTTTATTGATTGGGATTACGGATGATTGCACTCATTTTGGAAATTAATGTTACAAAAACGAGTTCAAAAAATATATAGTCGTGTTTTCCTCTAAATCAAGAAAAATTATGAGTGTAGTATGCTTTTAAACGTTTTCTATCTCTTTTTTTTTTTTTTTCCCTGTTGATGGGTAAGAAACATTATATTATTTTGACTTAATTTCTATTGATAATTGTAAGTCACGGTAGAAAGCATTGGAAAATGAACTTATTCTGAGGGTTATGTTGTAGAACAGTATAACATAGATTTGAAAAATTAATTTAATTAATCATTGCCATTGATTTATCTGTGAGTCTGAATACATATAAAATTCATTATCTATTCAATGATAATGATTCATTAAGTTAATAAATTAATCAATTTATAACCACAAATAGCATTTTCATGTATTATTAAGTTGTGTTAGTAATAGTGATCATGTTACTCATCGATACCAAAACAAAAAGTACAAAATCAAGAGAACCAAGAAAAATCCATCGATAATCTTACATAATCATTTATTGATATACTTAATTGAGCCACAAAAACTATTCATCTTGGCAATGATAACTATTGTAACTTTGTTGGGCAAGTGCATATGTCTCATTCTCTCTCCATTCTCTGTCATGGGCACCATGTAATACGGTAGTTTGCTCCACCGGTGCAAGTAAAAGTGCTAGTTTTATCATCATATGCATAGCTATAAGCCTGTGGGCACTTGCCCTTCAAGAAATTAGAATATTTTGTGGGCGGGCAAGTCTGCGGCGAGCCAAAACTGCCGGTGCAACAATACTGCGGTTGATTAAAGGCCAAACAAGCACTCTTGCAACCAATCGTAGCCCCATTTGGATTCCTCACGGCTAGCTCTGATGGACAGTTTGCGTTCAAGTCGACCGGACAAGCCGTCGATCTACAGTTGGATCCACCTTGTGGAATCACAGAAACCGGCAGGTTGAAACCATCTACAAGGCTAACGTCGTAGAAATCTTGTCCACCGCTGCCGGCTAGAGTGAACTCTACTAGGGTTGCTGGTGGTTTTCCTCCGGCACCATTGCATGCAACTTGGCCAGAACCACAGTCTCCGCTCAGACAAGTGACCCTTCCAGAGTCTGTTGAGCAAAACCCTCGGGCCCAGAACCGGCCTGACCATGAAGCTGGAACATTGATAGTTGACGATGCACCGGAAGCTAGCAGAAACCCAGTCGTAGATAATTGAGGCCTACCACCGCCGGTCAACGTCGCCGGCCAAATTGTGTAGGGACAGTGGTTTATGATTGTGAATGTTACTGAATGAGCCCCTGCAATACAATTTGGGCAAAGAACTTGTCATTCTTCGTGTTGGGGGAACCTTTATATATAGCATATCCATGCATGAAGATTTCGAGAGGACATGAACAGTATTACTTGTGACAAACTATAAATGTGATGACTGTGTGACGTTTGCATGTTTTCTTAAGGGGACTTGGATATCTTTGTGCCAATATATTTTTTATTTTTTCGATCATTCATTATAAATTTAAGCGAGATCCCAATCTCATCAATGTTCGGTAGATCATCTATTATAGCAAATATCGGGAGAAAGTGAATCGAAAGGAATCTAAATCAGTTATAAGGGGATACACATGATTTTTCCTAATCAAGAACGTCAAAAATACATCAGTAATGAAGGGGAATGAAACTGGAATCTAGGTCTTTTATCGAAGAAAGGCTGCCCTTACCAAGAGTGCAATGCCTTGGCTTCATGAAATACATGCTTAATTGGTATGAACTTTTATGGAGTCCATGATTATATTTGCTAAGGAATGAAGCATCCATAAAGGTGGTTTGTTTACCAAACCTAGTACTTACCAAGCGTAGAAGTGCCAATATATGTAGACAACCAAACTTACCAGAGAAGAAGAAAACAACAAAGTACAGAGCAAAAAAAATTCCAATTGCCATCACTGATTGATTTCTTCGGATTAGGGTTGAAGTGCTGGGATTTATATGGCATATAGCCCAGTCAGATGTGGTAACATAATCTGGATTTTTCCAATAAATGTTGTTTATACCCTTCAAGGGATAAGAAAAACCCCCTCTGATTGCCTTACAAAATCTAGAAATGTAACCATACCATTCATTATGCAAAAATGGTAAATGTTTTATGCAAAAATAGAAAACAATAATAATGAGTTAGTTATTAAAGCTTCCAGCCACCATGAGGTATTGTTGCTGAATAACAAGGAACCGGTGCAATCTATAGCTTCAGCCTATGCATCCACTGCTGGTTGACTAGACAGACCCAAATACTGAATATGCGTTAAATTTTTTTGGATTGGGTAACCCTTTTCCTTCAAAATTTCCTTTTTTTTTCAATGGCTAGGAAAACTTGGGAAAAGAAAAGTGAAAAAAAAGTTAACCTCGACAATTGCAACTAAACAATGTGGTGGACACGTATTAATACTATCAAATAAAGCTTAAACCAAACAACTTTCGTCCCTGTTAATAAGGTTTAATAAGGGTCAACTACATGACTATTTTTGTCATTCTATAATTCCAAGAGTTATAGACTGTGTTAAAATTTGAACACACGTATCTTTTTTCAGTTATATCAATATATACTAATTTTGGTTAATCCCTCCTAACTCTTCTAATAATTGTGATCATTTCTCTATTCATTACAAGAAAAAAATATTAGGTATAACCGTTACACATCAGTATCACATGGTGTAATCGTCCACTAATAAATAAACATGTTTACGAGTGAGTCTCACAAAATTTCATAACCACTTAATCATGTAATATATAAAGAATACAATTATGCTATTGGGACATACAATGGAAACATAAAATGGGACTTAATGAGATGGCATTTGACGTGAATTTGTTACCCCATTAAAGTTTCTCCAACTAGTTTATTCAAATTCTGACTCGATTCTCTCATTTGGTCTCCTACTTAGGTTTGCCTCTTCCCGCCGATTACCATTCATTCTGTCTTCTGCTAGCAACCCATCGTTACCATTATTCTGTCTACCAACAAGCAACGAAGCTCCCTCTACATTCGAGACACGTCTTCTGCGATTCACTCAAGGAATCCAATCAACACAAAAAACACCATCTTCAGCGACTCACTCCATTCGACGTTCTAATCACTTCATCATGTATCATGTCAAATGGCCAAATTAAGTTGAATTAATTAGAGTAGGATTTTAAGCATAGTTGTTGGTGTTGCATTTAAGTATATTTAATTTTAAGTAGTATTGGTTGTGAAAATATTATATTCTTTGTCCCTAAAAAGAGAATTTAAGTATATTTGATTTTATACTTTGTAGGAATAGAAGGAGAATCTTCTAGCAGCTCTTCACATATGAAAATGAAGGGGTTGAAATGGATAACATAGTCAATGTAGACGAAAAGGGGGAAGAGCCTACGGTTGGGATGATATTTGAGAATTATGATGAGTTGGTTGATTATTACACAACTTATGGTAAGCAGTTAGAGTTCCGGTGAAAAAAAGATCGTCAATTAAGGGAGATGATTGATAGTTGAAATATATGATAGTTGGGTGTTCTTGATCAGGCACGTCACGAAGCACTTCAAGCAATCGCTTTTAAGTCGCATCCAAGCACTAAAACAGGTTGCAAGGCTAAGCTTACAACAATTATATGTACCAATGGGAGATGGCGAGTGAGTACCATTGTATTTGACCACAATAATGATTTAAGTCCAAGCAAAGTTCGATTCTTTCGATGCAATTGGGTCATTAGACCACAGGTATGTTGGAAAAAAAATTTAAATATTTTTTTGAACACGACTTCACTCATATAACGATGAATTATACGAGTTTTATTAATGTAAGCTGGACTCAATTTATAGAGCATATATCCGTTAATTATAATCCCTTGTTTTAAGGAAACACATTTTAATTCCAACAAGAAATTATCACACGTTCATAAGGGTATTTTATTTGTAGTGACAAATGGACATAGGTTAATTGCCTTGGTTGTCTGCGTACTCGTTGATGGGATCAAGCCAATTCATAGTTTGGGGGTTTTGGAATTTATTTAGGAGTGTTACTATATCTAGTGTAGATGTTGGACTGCTTATGTATCCAAAATGAAATTAAGTCAGTTATAGTTTTTAAATTTTAAGAATTTAATTGGAGTTGATTTTGACTTGCCGTTATGCTCAGTGTAGATGTTGAACTGTCTACACATTCAAAAAATGAAGTGAAAAGAATTTGATATTTATTTGAATTGATTTGGTCTTGCAACTGTGCTTAATTTAACTAGACTGTTTATGTATCCGAAAGAGAATCAAGTCAACTGTAGTTCATAAATTTTAAAAATTTAATTAAAGGTGATTTAAAATTAAGACTATGTTTAGGCTAGATATTGGATGCCTATTTATCCAATAATGAAATCAAGTCAGACGAATTTAAAAAAAAACTTAAAATTTATATGAAGTTAGTTTAGACTCGAAAATGAGCGCCAACAATTGAAAATGGCAGAGCCATTCTCACCCCTTAATTTAAATAAAATGAAAAATGATATTTAAGAGATGAAAATAACCACCCAATTGAAAAAGGAAAAAATAATGGGTGATTTTGGGATAACAGATAGGGCATATTTCAAAAATAATGCCCCAACACTATTCCGGAGAACGGCCAATGCAAGAAGTCATGGTCGTATTACGATAATGTATTTGAACTAATTTATGTGCAACCTACAACCTGAGAATATCTTTTCATCAAATACATAATGGATCACTATATCAACATGAAATAAACATTCCATTAAATATAATGTGTGCTTACAATACTAATCGTCCTCTCTTAAAAAAAAATTATCTCCGTCCTAGCTAGTAAAACTGCATGTTTCTTCTCCCCATTTTATGTCTCATGGACAGAACGTTACAAGGTAATTAGCTCCACCGGTGCAAGTAAAAGTGCTAGTTTTATCATCATATGCATAACTATAAGCCTGTGGGCACTTGCCCTTGAAAAACTTGGAATACTCCGACGGCGGACAAGTGTTCGGCGACCCAAAACTGCCGGTGCAACAATACTGCGGCTGATTGAAAGCCAAACATGCACTCTTGCAAGAAATCGTAGCCCCATTTGCATTCCTCACAGCCAGCACCGGCGGACAATTTGCGTTCACATCGACCGGGCAAGCTGTCGAATTACAGCCACCTGAGCCACCTTGTGGAACCACCGAAACAGGCAAGTTGAACCCATCTACGAGGCTGACGTCGTAGAAATCTTGTCCACCGGCGGCGGCAAGAGTGAACTCTACTAGGCTTGCCGGCGGTATTGCTCCGGCACCGTTGCAAGCTATTTGACTGGAGCCACAGTCTGCACTTCCACAGGTGAATTTTCCAGAGGAGTCAGTTGAGCAGAAACCTCGGGCCCAAAACCGGCCTGACCATGGAGCTGGAACGTTGATAAGTGATGATGCTCCGGAAGCTAACTCAAACCCGGTGGTAGATAATTGAGCGCCGCCACCACCGGTCAGTGTCGCCGGCCAAATTGTGTATGGACAGTGGTTTGTGATTGTGAATGTAGCCGAATGAGCCCCTGCAAATCAATTTGGACATATCTCTAACTTAAAAATCCCCGAGAGAGGAAAAAAAAATATATATATAACTTTTTGAAACCTTTACATATAGTAAACTCATGCAAGACAACAGGGAAGTCAACTATGCAAACGACACAAAATCGACACAAACTCCACATAACGTAGATAAAAAGAAGACAACTGACGACACAACAATATAGATAAAAAAGACAACACATAATCGACATAAATATGACACCACTATGATGATATTAAGGATAATGTGGGTTAAACATGATACAGATTTGCTGAAGAAACTAATTAATCTGGGAGTGGGCAGAACTTACCGGAGAGGAAGAGGGTGGCCAAAGTGAGGAAGAAAAGCACTGGAACTGCCATTTGTGGTGAATAGGATCTAGAAAAAGATTTTGAAAATCAAAGTTCTAGAGTTTGAAATAGTGGAGAAATTAAATTGGCATGGATGGTATTAAAGTTAACGAGTTAAATAGGTGTGCGGAGAGTTGTGAATTGTGATCTTATGAAGGGAGTTATATATGCATAATAAGCATTGCCAAGATTTTAGGACATGTGACATTTTTGAATCCTTTAATTATGGCCTCAATCTTATTTTGTCAAATCTATTATTGTGTTTCTTGTATTGTCAACACAATTACCTAAATTGATTTTACAGTATTAAATTCCCTTCTAATTACCAAAAAATAGAATCTTCCAAAATGGTACATATATTAGTGAATTCAATTCATTTTAAATTTTGAAAATAAAATACCTTGCGAACATCTTCCAATAGTGATTCACCAGCAATTATCCATGTCTGAAGGTACGGTGTTACTCGTAAATTAGTTACAAATATTTGATCATACATTAATGTAAAGTAAAATATAACATTGTAGTAAACGACGAACAAAATGAATTCGCTAATATTTTTTATAACATCAACCAACATGCATAACATTTATTTTTACATTAAATTGTTAAAATAGAGGAATGAGAGAGAGAGAGAGATTTGCTTGATTTAAGAAAAAAATTTGAGGGAATTAAATTCTGGAATATCAATTTTAGAAACTATAAATTTTGAGCAATAAAAATATTTCAAAAGAGTTAATGTGTTACGTTAGATCAAACCAATCTGAGATATCAATAGTTTGAGATAACGTCGTCCGTTAGATGATATTTTTTTTTGTCATAAAACTATTTATACCACTATTTGTCTCCAAAATTTAAATTCGTTCAATTTTATTATATATATAGCTCACATGACGGGATCTAATGATCCTAAATTACAGGGTCTAACTAGTCTTATCAATCGAGGGCCGTTAAAAGAATAATGTCATTTAAATTTAAAAATTTGATCTAATTTATTGATTTAATAATAAAATTTCATTG